TGGAAACAACCGGATCCTCCCATCCCAGGCTTCTCTCCTCTCTGAGCCTTCCTGGAAAGAATCCTCCAGGCCCTCCAGCCAGGGACCTCTTCCCGGCTCACAACAGGACTGGGCCTGCTGGTGTCAGCTCTGGCCACCCTGACCCCTGCTGGGCTGCCTACGATCTCCCTGGACCTTTCCGCTCCTGCCAAGCCATGCCTGCATGCCATCCTGCACAGATGGCATCAGACCCCGACACCTTCCAGACAGTGGCCTAGAGATTTGGGACCTGACCTGAGCTGGCATATGACGGGCACTGAGTAAGTGGAGATCTCCCTCCAACCCCAGAACAGGGCTGGCACCTAGCTATTGTCACTCCAGTTTCTCTCCTTGCCACAGCAGACCCGAGGATGTGTACAGGTGTGTGTGTGTGTGTGTGTGTGTGTGTGTGTGTGTGTGTGTGTGTGTGTGTGACTGCCAAGGCACAGGAGGGAACTTGCCGGGGGCGATGGCTTGGTTTCATTCTTGATCTAGTTGGGGCTCTCCAGATGTATACATTTTGCAAATCCCATCAAACGGTATGATGCAGATCTGCACGTGATGGTCTGTAGAGCATATCTCAACGAAGTTGATTTCATGGAAAATCTCTCCTGCCATAAGGGCAGCATTTGACACTGAGCTTCCCGAGAGCAGAGGTTCTCAACTTGTGGGTCGCAATCCCCGTGGGGGTTGAACAACCTTTTCACAGGGTCGCCCGATTCATGACAGAAGCCAAATGACAGGGATGAAGTAGCAAGGAAAATAATTTTATGGTTGGCGGGTCACCACACTATGAGGAACTGTATGAAAGGGTCGTGGCACGAGGAAGGTTGAGAACCACTGCCCTAGAGGAAGCACACGGCGAATGCACTTGGCTGGCGGCTAGGTCCACCCTGAGGTACCTCGAGGAGGAAAGGTCTGGTGATCTGCTTCCAAGAGCGTAGACCGGGAACCCCCGGACCAGCACTCCTGAGTTGGGCTGGACTCCTCCGGTTGGGGTGGCTTTTGAGCCCATGGCTGTCACACCACCACGATTCGTCGCCTGGCTTCTCTTGACAAACAGAAAGAAGCAGGTTGCATCTGGGAGACTGCATTCCCTGGAGTCCTGGGACCAGGGTAATAACGCTTCTCTTTTCAGAGCCCCTTTCTTGGAAGCAGGGCTCATAAAACTTTATCATATGCTGCTCGCTCTGCTAATGCAATCATTTAATCTCCCTCCTGCTTTTCTAAAGGCATCTTTACTACCGGGCGGGCGGCGGGACCCCAGACTAATTATGTTGACAGAGAAGTCCGAATCATTTTCTGGAAAGGCCTGATTTTCAGAGGGAATTCAACAATGGGGAGAAAAAGAAAAGAAAACCCCACATGCTCTTCCCCCTTCGTGGAAAGACATTTTCAGGGTTTAATAACGGTGGCCAGTGAGCTCTGGAAGCAGCCCACTTCTAGTGCCGATGAACCTTATCTTTAGCTTCCTCGAGCATTCTCTTGCTCACCAGCGACCGCCGTGGGAGAGTAAACAGGGCCCTGGGACTGGCCTGTTTGCCTCCTCCTAATCTTCCTGTCAGGCTCCTAGCAACTCACCTGCCCACCAGCCGGGCAGAAAGTGTAGGACTGAGCACGCCGACAGCCAAGTGTCCTTAAACCAATGTCAACCTGGAAGAGGGACTCTGGACTCCTCCCTCCTCGTGGGCACTGGACAGACGGACGCCATCAGGGAGGACGCAGCCGGGACAAGCTGGGTCCACTCTTACATGCCCCTGGCGCTGGGACGTGAAAGGCCCACCTTCAAGCTGAGGGTGGGGTCTTAGTTCGGTCAGACAGCTTAGAGAGCAGAGGAGGGACAGCCTGGTGCTACCCGGCATTCAGGCCCAAGTGCCAGCTTCAGCCGGAGCACTCCCATCCAGACTTCCTGTCCCACAAGAGGTGCCCAGTGTCAGTATCGAGATTTTATCCTTTTAACAGTTAATGAAAAGAGAGAAAAGCTACAATTACCAGCCATTTAGGGGCCAAGAGAGCATTTCCAAAGGCAGTGCTCAGACATCTCCAGTCATTACTCTGCTGTCCTCTCTCCTGATAGAGCCATGTTTGCACTGTCGGATTGGAACTCTCCTTGCTTCTGCTCCTGGTGGAAACCCTAGGGGCTCCATGGGTGGCTGTCGAGGTGGGGCGTGATTGGGTGAAAGGTCTCATTGCATCTCATTGCAACAATCTGGCTGGATAGGCAAGTCAGGTCTAGCTCCCACCCACTTTGCACAGATGCCGAAACTGGTGTGCCGAGGGCCCTCGTGCCACCCTAAGGTGACCCGGAGAATGCCGACACTGACATAGAACTCCTGCCGCTTTTTCTACCGCAGCGGCCAAGCTAAGTGGCCAATCTACAAGCCAAGTCTGCACAGAGTACATTCTTAGTAGGGTCATTTCATTGATAAGCCATCCGTCCTAGTCTCTCCATGTGGCCCCCTTCCCCTTCCACTCTGATCCATCTATGCATTCCCAACGCCCAGTCCAACGGAACCACTGCTTCTCCCTGGTTGCCCTCGCAAGACCCACGGATGGCAGTCACCGCCCCGCAGGCCCCCAGGGCCTCCCTGAGGCGGCCCATGCTTTTCTAGCCACCCCACCCCCATCGTCTCCTCAATGACCTGACCTGTCCAGCATCCTTTGCATTTCTGGCTCCTCTTTGTGGTTCCCATGAACCCATGCAGCCCAGGCCCAGGCCCACGCTTGCCTACGTGATGGCCACTCCCACCTCTCCTGGGAGAAGTCCAGTTGAAGGAAGGGTTTGTATCAGTCATTTGTGGGCAAAACCAAGACCAGTCCAAGGGTCGTGTCCCTTCTCGGGAGTTGAGACACACAGGCATGACCATCCTCCTTCCCCTCCTGCCCCACCTTCCTTGGGTCTCACTTTCTGGACTCGGTGTCCCTCCTTTCTTTGTCTCTTTCTTTTCTCGGCCTGGTCAGCACAGCAGGTGAGGAGTCATTGTGTCCCCACTTATTTTCATGAAAGGCATTCTTGTTCAAACCCCAAACCAAACTGACGGCCATGCCGACTCCCCGCGACCCTATTGGATGCCCCTGTGCATTTGCACTGCTGGACTCTTAACAGAGGAGAAAGCTCTGTCCTTCTCCCATGGCGTGGCTGGTGGTTTCCCACAACTGCCCTTGTAGACCACTCCACTGCCAGGGCCCCTCCCGACCACTAGGCTGTGTGTTCTCATCTCTCTCGTGACGTGTCCATCATGGCTTGTGGACTATTCATTTGGATGGCTCTCAAGGGTGGCAATGTTCCCTCCTTCCAGCAAGGGTGGACTTGGCCAGATGATAATAGCAGTGGGGATGTCTGGAGACTTTGACAGGTTCCGAGTCCGACTGCAGTCTTGAGGATTCAGGGTGGTAAAGACTGTGGGGAGAGAAGTGACGTGGCACTAAAAGAAAGGACATGCTTGACACCATGAATGTGTGTATGGATTGTGATAAGTGTTGTGCAAGCCCCCAATAAAATGATTTTAGAAAGAAAAAGAAAGAAAAAGGAAGGAAGGAAGGAAGGAAGGAAGGAAGGAAGGAAGGAAGGAAGGAAGAAAGAGCCAGGCTCTCTTGGGGCAGGGGGTGGGCAGTCTGTGAATCGCCCAGGAAGCAAAGTCAAGAACCGCGTGATGGGCCTGCTCTGAGTTTTGGTGGCTTCCTGGGTTGCCCCGGTGATGATACAGCGGGAAGCACAGGTTTGCACGCTCTCCTGTAACACAGCAATTAACAGTTGCTGCCACTGTGATGGGGCTTTTCACAGACATTTCTGAAGACCCTGCCAAGTTTCAGGCTCGAAGCGTAAGAACAGGCTCAGGGTTTGCAATCCAATGAAACCAGGTGCAATCGTGTGCCAGACATCAAAGGATTGTGCCCTCTCTGAGCGCTAATGGGGAAGAGAGGTTGGAGACCAGGCGTGGAGCACCAGGAAAAACTCCCCAAGACAAGCACCGCTCGTAGCCCTCCAATGATGACACCGATATGCTCATGGTACAGATGCAACAAGAGGAGCCCTGGTGGCGTAGTGGATTACGCTTTGGGCTGTCAACCACAAGACCAGCAGTTCAAAGTCAACAACCACTCTGCAGCAGAAGCATGACGCTCCCTATTCCCCTAAGGAGTGACAGTCTCAGAAACCCACACGGGGAGTTCTGTTCTCTCCTATCGGGGCGGGGCACCGTGAGTTGGCATCAACTCGGTGCCAGTGAATAAAAATGAGTTAACGGACACAGCACACAACCACTGCAGGCTGGAGAGCTTAACACACTGCTCAGGGTCACCCAGCTAGGAAGTGTGAAAACAAAGACCTTTCTGTCTGCTCATCGCCGCATCCCCACCTGAAGGAGACCAGCACTAACTCCCAGGATGGGAATCTGATCTGTCTGCAGCCCAAGGAATGGCTGTCTTTCCGCTCCTCATCAGTGCTGCCTTCCCCTTCTTAAAGGGCCAGTTGTTATTGTTGTTGTCTTCTGGCACACCCCAACTAAGGCAGAGTTCCCACCATGGTCCCTGGTGCAGGACTGGGGCTCTCCACTGATTGGCGGGTAATCGTTTCATCGTGAGGAAGTGAAAGTAGCAAGAAGTTTGCCATTGTAGCGCTTTGAAAATGTCCATCAATTACACTCACCGTGTCCTGCTGCCAAGCTTTATTTCTTGAAGAGTGTTTCTCAATTAAACATATATGTATATATAGTCATTTTAAACACAGAGGCCAGAGACTTGCTTCCTCCAACAATATCGAGATAACTTGAGGAGTGAAACAAAAACAGCTCTTTCAGGAAACTCAAAGGCGATGCATGGGGCAGACACTCTGCAGGGCTATGCGGATGCACAGGGGCAGAGGGGAGGGAGGGCTGTCCAGAGAGAGGCCGTCAGCTATGAGGAGAGCTGACCCCTGATCAGAGCAGATTCGTGGCGAGCACGGAGCACCAGGTGCTGGGTGACCTGGGAAGCCACCTCACCTTGCCAGGTTCCCATTTCCTCAGAGGGAGAAATGGGGAGGGGTTGAGTAACATAAGAGGTCACCCCCTCAGGTGCCCATTCGTCTGTTGGCACCCTGAGTGGGGTAGGGATGGAAGCTCCAACGAGGCGGCAGCTTCCCCTCCATCGGTTCCAGGCAGGGATGTTACCCGGCTCTCAGAGTCTCCAGAAAAGTCTCTCCAACTTTAATTTGATTGGACATCTCTGATTTCTAGTTATTGACAGCTCCATTGGCACACGCCCTCAGGAGAGCCCACGCCCCCACAAAGAACACCAAGTGTGGTCCATCAGAAGGTCTCCCGCTCTCCATGAGACGGAGCAACATGGTAGTCACAACAGTACGCTCACACTACCCACGGCGGTGATGATGGCGCAGGATTGGGCAGGGGTTCGTCCTGTTGACAATGGTGCCTCCGTGGTAATGAGCAACAACAATAATTCAGCTGCAAACAAACAAATAAACAAACAAAACCACTACAAGGGGCCTCACATGTATGCTGTAGCCTCTGGTCTCCAATTTCAGTTACATGACCTTTAGAGCCTCAGAAAGCTGCACGTTCACACTGAAGAGAGATTGCTTTTTCTGCTCCTGGGGGCTGACAGGTAGAACAGGGAAAGCGAACCTGGTATTTTCTGTCTGTGAGGCGACTTGATGTTTGGGACTAAAGCCAGGTGACAGGATTAAGGCCTTCTGGATAGATTAGGGACTCAATGTAAAGAACAGAATCTTCACAACTGGACCAATAGGCATTGCCATGGGAACTGGGGGAACAGTGAAATTGTCAAGGATTTTGTCTTGCTTGGCCCCACAAGCAGTGCTCGTGGCAGCAGCGGTCAAGAGATCAAAGGAGGCACTGCACTGGGTCAGTCTCTTAAAAGTGTGGAAAAGCAAGGATGTGACTTTGAGGACTAAGCTGCCCCTGACCAGCCATGGTGTTTTCCATCACCTCCTATGCACTGAACGGTAGAGTGTGACTAAAGGGAGATGATGGTGCGGCCCAAGAATATTGAAAGTCCCACGGCCTGCCGAAAGACAGAGCGGCCTGTCTTGGAAGGAGTATGGCCAGAATACTCCTCCGTGGCAAGGATGGTGACAGCGGTCCCTGGAGAAGGACATCGTGCTTAGTAAGGAGAACGACAGTGAAAAGAAAGACGCGCCCCCCCCCCCCCCCACAACAACAGCGGCGGCCTGGGGCCCAGCTCTTCCTCCAGCGCTGTCCTCCCTCGAGCGCCTCCTCCTTGAAGGCCACCGTGTCCACTGATGGCCTTTGTCACACCCCAGGGCCTTCGGGTATGCAAACTGTGGGGCTTTTCCGTCCAAATCAGACAGAGGCTCTGCATGTCCTTGCAAGCCGAGAAGCAGCTCTGTGCAGTCAAGTCTTGGTGGCAGAGACCAGGGATACTCGGCACATATTTTGTTTAAAAAAAAAAAAAAAAGGTAAGAATGAGAAGGGTCATCAGTTAATATCGGCTTTTACAGATTGGGGCTGCTCAGAAGGGAGTCTATAAAACACTCTTCACGGAGACTCAAAAGGAGTATTGATTTTTGAGAAGCAGAGGGGTTCAGAATGACAGCCCTTGCAGGACCGTAGCCACTGCCCCTCCCTGCCGGACCTTTTCTAACCCAGAATGGGGTCAGCAAAAGCAGGCAGATTAGAGCTGGCAAGGGGGACAATGAGGAAGGCATTTTCTGGTCCCTGAAAACCTCCCTCCGTGGCCACAGCATGGAGGCAGGGGAAGTTCTCCAGCAAACCCGCACCTGGGTCTGTGTTGTGGTCGCTGAGGGTGACCACTGCCTCCAGGGACACGAACTCTGTGTCTGCCGCAGAATGGGGCAGGGGCAGGGCCGCAGTAGCCAGCGTCTCCCAGGCTTGTTCACGGGATGCAGCACGAAGATGAAATGCCAGAAGGAAACAGACACTTCCAAGCTCCTGTAGGAGCAGAGTGAAACCACCCGGCAGACTGGATGGTTTGCCCCCTGTGAGCAGAGTATAGATACCCAATGGGTGCCATTTGCTCAGGAAGGATGGGCCAAGGGGAAGGTGGGAAGGGTCACCTTGGTGCCCTTGCAAAAGATGGACCCGGTACCAGTGGTCTTCACTGAAGAGGTCCCTGGAAGATGCCCAAAGGCCACAGCGGAAGGCTCCCTTCAGAAGAAGACTGGGTTGTAAATCGGAAGGGCGCTTTCCCAGCGGCTACAGCCAGCTCGGGGCTGCAATTAGGGATGAAAACAGAGACAGCACGTCCATGTATGCAACCACTTCTTCATTCTTGCTGCGCATGACGAGCACGCTCTTCCTCACGGTGATCAGCTCCCGATGCCGAGTCCCTTCGATACAGTTCCTCATCTTGTGCTGAGCCCCCAACCGTGAAATTATTGTCATTGCTACTTCATCACTGTCATTTTGCTACTGTTATGAAGCGGGCGACTCCTGTGAGACGGTCGTTCGACCCCCAAAGGGGTCGCGACCCACAGGTTGAGAAGCGCTGCTGTAGTGTCTGAGCAGTCCATGACTGGACCCGGTGGGACTGACAAGGGCGGAGGGTATTAGCTCCTTTACCGGCAGTGGGAGGCTCTGGGAAGCTGGTCCGGAGATTCCTGCAGGGTTCCTGTTGGCTGCCATATTTGAAGGAGTCTCCCCAGACCCACGGCCTGGCTAGGAGCTGGAAGTGGAAGCATGCAGTACCAGAGACTGAAGGTTTGGGGAAGACAAGAGAGAGGGGCCACACGGTTTGTGTTTCCGTACAGCGGCCTCACCTCTGGAACAAGTGGCCCAGATGATACAGGCACAGGCCCCCAAAGGGCCCGTCCCTCCAGCCTCGGGAGGTGGAGATTGGAACAAAAGAATCGCCTCCAATGCTGCTCCCCAGACACCCCTCCACTAGGTGGAAACAGGAGGGAGAGAAGCTAAAGGCCCCACCCCACCCCCACTCTTCACACATGGGTTACAGCGCAGAAACGGTCCCCTGGGAGCTGAGTGAGAAGACCTGCGCTGTAAAGTTAGACACCCACATGAGGGGCTAGGGGGCATCTGGGCTGCCTGGTGGTGAGAGAAACCACTTCATGGGGAGAAACTGCCGAGTAAAGACAGCCACGAGCATTCAGGTCTAAGGAGCTGGCACCAAGCTACAGGAGACAGGCAGAGGGCAGAGCATGGATGCTCAAAGAACCTTCCAGCCAGGCAAGGCTCCCTCTGAAAGCGCCCAAGCGGACCCCTTGGGAGTGCCTGCACAGTGACACAAAGGATGCATTTCCAGGACTGGCATGGACAGGTAGGAGGAGGCTATGGTCAGCAGAAGAGAGAGCCCAAAACTAGTCCCACTGCAAGGCCAGTATGACCTGGCCACGGTCAAGGGCGTCTGGAAGCAAAGAAAGGATGGGGGAGCAAGGGCCGAGGAGGGGAACATCTGCTGGGGCCGTGCAAGTGACACCTGTGGGTAAGAATGGGGCAGGATTGGGAAATTAAGCTCCAGAAGTGAGAATAACCAAGTCCCCTGTGGTGGTGGGAGAGGGGTGCAGGGGGAGGTGGCAGGGGCAGTAGGGAGAAACATCTGAACCAGACACCAACTGCCCACACACAGAGCTTCCGGGAATTCCCAAGAATGTGCTAAAGGCCCCAGAGGTAGGCTCTCAGGGCCTGGTTCCTCCAACATCAAATCAAGGTGGCCTCCCTCCTCCCAGTGGTACACAGGCTGGATCCCATCAGCCTGAGACGGTCTAGAGCTAGCGACCCTATAAGACAGGGTAGAACTGCCCGGTAACTCTTTACAGAACTAGAAAGCCAGCCCTGTCTCTCTCCCTAGATGCTGCTGGTGATTTCCCACTGCTGGCCTCGTGGCTAGCAGCCCCATGTGTCAGCACTGTGCCACCAGGGCTCAAAGGGGACCTCAGTGTGAGGAAGCATTCTAGATAACTGTGTCAGTCCAGGTAGACTAGAAAAACAAGTTCATAGATGCTACTATGTGTATACGGAAGAGCTTTGTATCAAAGAGCAATTGTATATTGAAAAAACATCCCAGCCTAGTCCAGATCAAGTCCGTAAGTCTGATATTAGCCCCTGTGTCTGATACCAATCCATAAATTCCTCTTCAGACTCTCACAAAACATGCAATGACACCAAATTCAGGAAGATGACAGGCCAGTGGGTGGAAAGTCTTTGGATCCAGTGGCGGTAGAAGCATGTCAGTGCTGGCAGGGGTCTCCACATGGCTCCTCCAGCTCCAGGGCTCTGGTTCCATCAGGGGTCTCCATGTGTCTTGTCAGCAGGAAGACGAACAGAGAGTGTGTGGTTCTAGCCTCCGGTGAGCTATTTATCTCCGTCCAGCCTCCAAATGAGGTCATCAAGCTGCGATCTGATTAACAGGCTAGACTCCACCCCTTCGCAAGTTGACAGGAGATTTTGTAGCGGCCACAGCAACCATTCTAGAATTTTCTGAGCATGGAGCTTCAGGGAAATGAGGGCTTGTGCACAATGACAAATCAGTTCACGGTCAGAGTAAAGAGGGAGCTTCCAAGAGTATGCTATGAAGGAACAGCAAATACTACTCAGTCAACTTACCCAGCTATGACCCTGCCTCTCTCCTCCCCCACAACACCTTCAGGCCTGAATGCCGTTTAAATATTTATGAAGAGAAACTGTTAGCCAAGTTCATTAAATTAAGCCGTGTTTACACTTCTGTTACCGACAAACTATTGCTTTCATTAGGTTAAGTCCTCCTTGTTTCGACACTCCTCATTAATGCTGACCCGGGAAGATTAAGGGGCTCTAGCTCATGAGAGTTACTCAGCTCTCACCCTGGTGCCTGGACACAGGTTAGTGTTTTTGGAACAGCCTGACCCTCGGAAAGCTCAGGGCTTGCTTTATCTAATGAATGGTTGGTGACCTGGCCCACCAAACACCCCGGACAGAACCCGAAGGGTAGATGGTCCCTGGATTTAACCTGGTCTTCCCTATAAGCCAGTCCCTCTCCTGTCTCCCCGAGCTTCCTCTCACTGGGCCACACGTTCCTACAGAGTGGAGGCTGGCCATGCACCTGCCAGCCCTCAGGCACAAAAGGGATTTGTTGGAGGTGGATGAAGCCATCCTTCATAAAGTTCAAGGGGGAGAAGCCTAGGAGGTAGGGGGGTGGGGGTGCAGAGAGCAGAGCTGGATCTCAGGACAATAAAAGACCTTAAAAGGGCCTAAAGGTCCGTAGGAGTTTCTCCTCCCTCCCTGGACAGCCTCATTGGAGCGATGAAGACACCGAAGTTCAGAGGAATGACAAGACTCAATCAGGGTCACCCAGCTAGTTTTCTGACTAATAGGGATCCTAGACCTCATGACCAGGCCAGAGCTCTGTGCTCCAGTGTGCCCCACACCCTGCTAGTCCACTCACTGCTGCTCCAGCCACCTGGAGGGTGTGGGCTTCCCACTAGGAAACCCAGTGGTTCTGCATCTGGACGTGATATTGCTGGTGAAACCCTCACAGCTGAGGAACGATGTAGGCACAAGGTGATACTTTGCAGCGTGTTTTTCTGAATAGAGATTGGGAAACAACATAAAGATCTATCAAGAAGAGATTGCTCATGTACAGTGGTATATCCCTGAGCTGGAATACTATCTAGTTATTAAAAGGAAGGCTACAATTTATATGGAAGGGCCACCAAGATACACGTTAGGCAAAAAGGAGTTTAATATACCACTGTGTGCGGCATGCTACCATTTTTGCAAAATGTGAGTGTGTGTGTGTGTGTGTGTGCGCGCGCGTGCGTGCTCATGTTGGTGCATGTACCCATATAGAACAGAGAATAGATCTAGAAGAAGGACTAGGCACCTGGGAACAGCGGCTACCTTCTGAGTATTGGTGTCTGATACTGACACATAATAGGTGTTCGATGAATAGCTGTATTGGAGAGACGAAGCTCACCCAGCCCAGTATTTGCTTTCCACTCAGCAGAAAAGAAAAGTCTATGCACCCAATGATTCGTACTCCACAGAGTGGACAGCAGGGCTCACGCCAAGGTTCTCAGGTTTTGAGGCGTGAATGAGCATCTGGAGCCAATGTCTGTGAGCCCCCCATCTCTGCCCAGGCTACATTGGGCCTCAGAAGCCCAGCCTCTGAGCTGAGCGCTTACCTCATCCTGTCAGGACGAGAGACTCGCCAACCACGGCAGTGCCCCATGGGAATGCTTAAAAATGTTTCCTAGACGCCGTCTAACGGGAAGTAATATTCTCCTCAGTACAAAAGCCAGGCAAGAGTGGCCCAGACCCAGACTCCAGGAAAAAGGCCGAATCCCTTCTTGGAGCTCACAGGAGAGAGCCATAATCAGAAATGCCCGACTGTTTGTTTGTCTCCCTTTTACCATGTTAAAATTTTTATCAAAGAAATAGACGGATTAGATTAAAATGTCAAAGCCATCAAAACATAGTGCAGAACATTATAGCACAGAAAGCAATAAGTGACCTTCTTTTCAATACTAAATTCCTTATGTCTCTTAATGGATTGTGAATAACTTTTGAGGCAGTTTTAAGAGAAATTTCGGGAACAGAGTTCGGATCGATTGCATATCCTGGTTGTTGGGAGTTCACATGCAGGAGGGGGCTTTGAAAAAGTTCGGGAGAAAATGGAATTGAAACACAATGGAATTTTCCCACGAACGCGCAGTTTATGGAATTGAAAGATAATGCTTTTCCCAGGAGCTTTTTTGGCCGTGAACTTTGTGACAATGGGGTGTTTGCATAACCATTCTCCTACTTCTGTTTTGTAAGAACAGAAGCAACTGCTATTTTAAGACCAAGTCATCGAGGCTAATTTGGTACGAACATCAGAGAAGTTTCTTTCTTACCTTTTCCTTGGAGAGCTCAGGTGCACCTCCGGGACCCAGCGGTGCTCCCGAGAATAACAGAGACAAGTGGAGACGAAGCAGAAACCCCAGCCCAATCGAGCTTTCCTCCCGTAAGCTGTCCGCCCTCTTCTCTCCTCCGGTCTCAAGGAAGTTGGGGGGACTTCCTCGCTCTGCCTCGAGGCCAGTGGGTTTGGCTTGGTCCTCCAAGCCTTAACTCTCTGGCCTGCAGGTCTTCGGTGCAATTCCCTTCACACTGCCAGGAAGTGCCTGAAAGAGACAGGGGTCTCCCAGGCTTGATGATGTAGGGACATGCCCCTGAAGAAAAAGAAAATGACTGAGTGACGGCCATCAAGACTGGAGACCCTGGCGGCAGCAGGAGGTGGCCCAGGGTTGAAGATGGCACATGGGCAGGGGTGTGTGGGGGTGGGGGTGGGGGGCCTTGGCTGGCCTTGAGGTTGTGGGGTCACACAATGACCATGGGACCACCTACCCAGAAACACACGCACCCAGGGAGGCCCAAGA